GTGCTTGTTTTTAGGTCAAGAGGACAGAAAAAGTTAGAGTCCCACGTGCACACCCCTCCCCACATACTTGAGGGGTCCATTTCATACGTAGCTCTGCCCTCTGATCTCCCATTCAGAATCCTCTAACTGTTATGGATGGACTTTGTTAGGGTTTTGCCAGTACCTTCAAGGGATTATTACTTCTTTACTGTTGGTTGTTTTGATTTTTGAGTCAGGATTAAAGGGAGTTACAAGAATTCAGATATTTACTTTCCATGTGTTCCATTCCTCAGAGACTTAAAAAGTTGAGCTAATGGGTAATCACAAAGTCTTTAAAAAATAATAACAACTTTGGGTGATGCATTCCATCTCAAATGAGCTAGTATAGGTTAAGACTGGACATTATTATTTTTTTAAATTATTCCTTTATTGTAAGATTTTTATTTTATTTATTTTTGTGTAGAAGAACTGTGGTGTAGGCCAGAAGTGTGCGTGTTGGGGTGTGTGTGTGAGAGGATTCACCAGAGACAGAGTGGGGAGCAGAACATGTGGATCTACTGAAATACACTGCTGAGGGGAGCAGTGGGCGAGACAGGAGAGGTCTGCTGTGCCATGTGGGTCAGCTCCCTGGCCAGGGATCAAACTTGTGCTTCAGAGGCTGGCAATACCATGATAGTGCAGAGACTTTAACCCCTGCGCCACCATTGGACCTTATTTTTTTATTTGTTTAAAAAGAAATGTATTCCAGGAATGCTGGCTTGAGTTCAAGCATTCTAGATTTATTTTGGTAAAGTCAGGTTTTGCAAACGTAAGTGTTTATCATAGCCCAGAGAAGACCCATTTTCACTTTAGGGTTTGGGCATGTTTTCTTGTCATACATCTTATGGACAACTCTTCTTCTGACTGCTTGCAGATGTTTTCTTAATCTTGGTTAACAGTGTCCCTATGATTAAGCTAACGAAAAGATGCCTTAATTAAACAGCAGGTCAGAAAGCATTCCATATTATGAAAAAAGAACATACTATGCAAGCTCAAATGAAATCACCTCAGAGTGATAATGGAACAGGTCAACTGGGAAAGATTTTCTTCATTGCTCAGTTAACTCATGGGATAATACATTAAGTGGCGATTCACTGCCATACCTTCACGAACACTCAATTAAATGCTCAAGACTATTTGCAAGCACTTTTCTTTGGAAAGCTTGGTCCAGATTTTCAAGTGACCCTTTTTTTCATTCGAAGTGGTCATGCCAAAGCTGATTTTTAACATGCCCCTCCAAAGATTGGGAGGTGTAACACTAGCACTCATTTGGTGTTGGAAATATAACAGTTTAAAAGATGGGTCTTCGTAAAACTCCCTTTGGATTAAGACATGGTGTTGATTGGATGTGGTGAGAACACTGGTTCCTGATCACTAGCTCCACAGAGGGGTGTTCTCCTTGCCCTGACTACATTCATCCTCACCCCTTCCCTCCAGCTCAGGTGTGGAGGCCTCTGTCCCTGGGACCAGGCCCAGCCTCTTGGTGTCCATCTTCTCCAGAACCTTCCTAAGCTAACCTCCCTGGCTCTTGTGTCCCTGCTTCCTCCAGTGGGCCCCTTTGGCCAGCCTGGCTTTTTACCTCCTTTGGCAGAGCGAGAAGAACTATCATTTTGTGTCTTTATTACATCTTGCTTTATCTTGACAGGATATGAAGTTGCTTATAAAAATACATTTAAGGCAATAATCTATAAAGTTGGGCTAATAGAGTAGGGCTAGAAATAAGGAAAAACAATAAGATGAGACCAACAGAACTGAGAAATACATGCCAAAAAATCCCACAGACTGACTGAAGGTGGCTGTGCATTTAGTTTTCAGGCTTGTAGCAGTCAAAATGAAAAGGAGACCATCATTAACTATAAAATTCACAGTCTCTAAGATGAATAATGCAAGCATTTCCCAGAAGAGGCAAAGCTTTCTTTTTTCCTCACTGATGTCTGAGGTAATTTTTTTTTCCCTGTGGGTCCTCTGATAAGAGATGCTAAGTTATATAGTGCTCAGGATTGCAGTAAGTACTGCAGGGAATCTTAATTGATCTAGTCGGACAAGACTGGGGCACAGCAGCAAAGTAGAATTTAGTAGAGATGGTTAAAGTGACTCGAAGGATAGGTGGCAAGGGGGAGGAAGGCAGGCTCCTCTTTCTTTTTAAATATGTTCAAGGCACTCCCATCCTAAAATGTTATAAAACAGATAAAAAATAGGGGTTTCCTCAGTGGCGCAAGGGGTTAAGCACCGCACCATGAAGCAAACAGCAGCCTCTGCTGCATGAATTCGATCCCCGGCCAGGGAGCAACCCTCATGGCGCAGCAGACCTCTCCTGTCTCACCCGATGCTCCCCTCAGCAGTGTATTTCAGTCATTCGGCCTGTTCTGTTCCCCGATCTGTCTCTGGTGAATCTTCTCACTTTCCGTACCTCTGGCCTGTACCCCAGCTCTTGTATGCATAAATAAATCTCAAAAAAAAAATAAAACAAATAAAAAATATATCACTACTCTCCACTCCATGTCTCATACAAGCCACTGTCTGGTCTGTCTCTTCCAACCCAGAATTCTCAAAAAATGAGTTCATGGATGAATAAAGGAACTATGAATAAAGAAACTTAATGAATAAAGGAACTATTGTTTCAAAATTTTATTTGATTTTTGTTTTTTAGGCATGAAGATGGAGTGGTTATAATTGCTTCACAATGATTCTGTGGCAGGAAGGAGAACAGCAGGTAAGAGTATGGATGACACAAGACTGTCTATAACTTAATCATCGAAAGTGGACAATGGGTACATGGAGGCTTATTATAGTTTGTCCCTTATCTTAGTATACATTTGAACTTTTCCATAGTAAAATTATTTAAAAAAATAGTTTCCACTGTCAGTCTTGATCTCCCTATTTTCAGTCACTCCTCAATCTACTGTAATTTAGGTTCTACTCCAATACTCTATTTTAGTCTCCAGTGACTTTAAAATGCAAACCCTTATGGCATTTTGGGGGCTTTATTTAGAAACTTCCCACCTTTGGAAGGACATGCTCTCATTTCTCCTGACTCTGTTCTGATCACTCCTGCTCTGACTCTTAAGAACTCTTTTGCCTGTGACCACATGTTAGTATTCTACCCTCGATATTCTGCCCTATTCCCCTGACTCTGTTCCTTTCCGCTCCTGCTTACTCTGATGGTTCTAAAGCCACCATGTTCTGATGACAGTCAAAGGTAACCCCTTACCTGCACAGTCTCTGTCCTCATGGCCTGCTGGCGGTCTGCCTGTGAATTGCCCACAGATGCCTCAAATTCAACACATGCAACAGGAAACGCATCTTTTCCTTTCAGCAGCTTCTCCTCTTCTACTCTCTTATCATCCTTGGTTCACTACCACTCATCTAATCTTTCTTAATTCTATCTCCCTTCTTGAATGTGCCCCTTCTGCCATCTAACCTGTGCTTATAATGCCACCCTAGTTCAAGTCTTTATCTTTACCTGTCTAAACGACACCAACGACCTGCTGACTGGTCTCTTGGTTCTAGTCTTTAGCAATTTCTCTTTCAGCCAGTTACTAGGATAACCCTTCTAAAACACATGAGTGAGCAACTATGTCATTCACTACCTTTGAAAAAAAGGCATCACTCTTTATCCAGACTACAAAACCCTCCATAATCTGCCCTTACCACCAAGGTTAGGTACAAGTTTAATATCTTAACTTTTGCCTTGCATATCAAATAGTTATTCTAATAGAAACACAAAATAAAAAAGTTGTTGCCAGAAGTTGGGGATGAGGGTAAGAGAGAGATTGGTAAAAGGGTACAAACTTTCAGCTATAGGATGAATTAAGTCTGAGGAGCTAATGTAAAACATGGTAACAATAGATGAGGACACTGTACTGGATAACTGAAATTTGCTGAGAGTAGAACTTAAATTTTCTTACCAAAAAAGATAGGAAGGAATATAGGAGAGAATGATGAAGGAAGATAGAAAGACAGAAAAAGATAGGAGGTGAAGGGTGTGTTAATTAACCAGATGGGGGGAATCCTTCCACAACGCACACGAACATAGAACCATTAGAATGCAGATTTTAAATAAAAGTTGATGTGTTAACTCTATCTCAGTAAAGCTGAAATTAAAAAAAAATGTTACTCTCATTTAACATCAAAACATATTACACTGTCATTCTTTAGGGAATAAGATGCCTCAGTTTTGCTAACAGTTATAAGAGCAACTGAACAAGAGTTCTGTCTTTTCTACAGTTTGGGGGAGGGATTCCTTTTACTTTTCTCATTTGTTCATATTCTTCTCTTTAAGTTACTTGGAAACTACAGCATCTGCCTTCAGCAAATATACTTAAACTTCTCCCACGTTCACACATCTCTTTAAAATCAAATACATTATCAGATTTAATAAAATTATTCAAGAACTGTGCATGATTTACTTCAGGCCTCAGCCCATTTATTTAAAGCTCATAGTACATAGGAACAGATTGTTATGCAGAAACCACTGAATAAGAGACTGACTTGTATACTAAATATAGATTAAATTAGACTTAGGGAAAAATTTTGATAAAAGTTATTTCACTCCTTAAGACTTGCTTGTCTCCAAATAGTTTAACGCAACGCATATCTGCTCAATAAATACCTGTTAAACTAAATTTAACTATACTAGTCATAATTAGATAATAAACAACTACATAACTAAAAAAGCAAACTGTTCAAGTTGGAAGACAAAAAAGAGGATAGCTGTACAAATGCTAAAAAAACCCTGTGATATCAAAGTAAGGTAAAAAGGCAAATTACACACACACACACACACACACCATATTTAAACCAGAAACTACAATTCCTTTAACTCTCTTAGGCACATTAATTATATGTGAAAATTTGAGAACACTGCTGTTTAAAGGTACTAAATTGAGAGTTATCATGAAAGTAACTTCAGGACAAGGACAAAAAGATCAGAACAATGACCTAGTTATTTTCTAAAATTGGTGATTAAAAAACACACTTACCCCATTTGGATAGTTGACCCCAGAAATGAGGGGATACAGTAATCAGCAGCTGCCAGTGTGTATGGTGGTCGAGCAGCAGAGTCATCCCAGTAAATGTCCTTCTTCATCTTGGGTAAATTCATGTGCATTTCATCCACAGCTAAAAGAGAGACCTAAAAATCATTGTGATATTGTTAGAATAATTCAGGTGTGATTTGTACAAAGAAAGCGAGTAAGTTCCAATGAGTGGATGGGATTTGGAATAGTATAGCAGAGTCAGAATGAGTGAATATACAAATGTCCACAGTTCATATTTGCTGCAGCGAGAGCTGCCACAGTGAGTTGTATATGTCGTTTACTTCATAAGAACTTGGCAATGGGGTGAGGGAGGCTATAAAACTGCCCACACTTGCTCTATCAAATCCCATGCCCCAGAGGGGAGCTACATGTTGCCTGGAGGCAGAGAAAGGCCTTTTCGTATTTGCTCAAAGTCTTTGTATTGTCTAAGGCTACCCTGGCAGCAACCACATAATCCCAGATATTACAAAAAGGGGGAAGACTCTCAATATCCTGTTTTGTTGATCCCATAAATGCATTTATACTCGGTGTAACTTATGTGCTCTGAGCTTTTGTGTTTTGGGAAAAATGTATCAATAAGCTTACACTTATTGGGTCATTAGTGGTCCCTCCTCTTGACTTTGATACATGAAAAAAAAAAGATTAATGCTTTGGGAATCTCATTCTTTTCTTTTCTTAAAGATTTATTTTATTTATGCATACAAGAACTGGGGTGTAGGCCAGGAGTGCAGGGGGTGAGAGGATTCACCAGAGACAAAGCGGGGAACAGACCAGGTGGATTACTGAAATCCACTGCTGAGGATGAGATACCCACTGAGCAGTGGGTGAGATAGGAGAGGTCTGCTGCATCATGTGGGTTAGCTCCCTGGCTGGGGATGGAACTTGCGCTGCAGTGGCTGCAGATAACTTCATAGTGCTGAGACTTAACCCCTTGCACCACCAGGGAGGCCACGGGAGTTTTGAGTCACAGACCTAGGCATTATGCTTCCTCTTTAACGGACTGACAATGTGATCTATGGTGAAAAGCTTGAACCTATTTAAGAGCTGAATGAGGGCTTAAAGCAAATAGACAATCTGAAGATCTTTACTCAGTATGTGTTTCTCAGGGAAAAGAGTGCTTTAAGGAGAGTCTTGCCCTAAAGGTAAATTCTCTCACACTGGTTCTTAATACAGAACCTTTCTGGACTACTTCAGGGTAAGGGTCCTAAGTTCCATCTGAGTATAATTCAGGCAGATCTGAGACCCAGGCTAGTGTGGCTCTCAGTGTCCAGCTGCTGGCGCCTGACTGTGAGGACCTATGTGCTGTGAATCTGGGAAATCACATCAGATTGTGCCTGGCTGCCATTTTAGGTCACTGTCAACTCCCTGGTAGTAATAAAAAACAGATTAAAGATTGAGTAAAAATACTGTTCTATACTGCAATGAAAGAGATGGTGTAGAATTGAGAAATTTATAAAGAAACTGACTTGAGCTTTTATTTAAAAGGACTGAATTTCACTGAAATTGAGAGCGCTAGGGCCCTTGATGTTCGCAAAGGGTTGGAGACAATACACTGAACAGTCAAACCTCTTTCACTTGTGGCTTAAAGCTCTAAATTCAGGAGCCCAGATTCAGGGTCTGTTTAGATTTGAAACACTACAAGTGATTTATTGTTAATATTTGTAAAGGAAAGAAATGCTTCTCTAACCTGCAGATTTCTGTCAATGCACCAGTTGGTTTCAAAATCATCATCATCTTCTCCAAAAGGGTTGATAAGCTGCTCAGCTACCTGCAGTTGAGGACACAGAATAAATCTGTCACCATGCTTGTGAAGAATAAGAATGGAGATTGAAGATGTTTCCTATTTCATTCCCTGTTTCATAATATGAAGCCTAAAGATGAGGGGTTATTCTGCAGACACAGATATTTATCAGCAAGCAAGTCTCAAATCTGTAATGACATGTCTACCTGGGCATGCTCTGCAAAGGGACCTGTCTATTCAACTGTGACAATGCAGCCTTATCCCGGAGCAGTCACATGACTGAGTTTCACGCAAAAATAGTGAATTTTGAAATAGCACTGACAATGTGCAAGGCATTGTGCTAGACAGCTGGAGGAATCCATAGCCTGTGCTTTCAAGGGATTTACAAAAGTTCAGATAAGGAGACAAAATGTAAGCGGCAAATAAAGACATATAATAATTAAAGAAAATAGTACAAGGAGCTTTCACATGTACGGGACATAACTGCCAAATGAATGAGTCAGAGAGCTAGTAAGTCCTAAAGCTGGAATTTTAATCTTTTTTAGTTTTACCCTAAAGGATTTACTATTACCTCATAAGTTTTTCCACTGGCAAAAGTTAAGGTAGTTTCTTATCACATATTTTCTAATAATCGGTCAATATTAAATGTTCTTACCAGGTTCCTGAATTGAATAACCTTTTTTGTGAGAGAGATATATGCCAAATAGGACTCACCTGTTATTCTCCTTCTTGAGTAATTCCCTTTGATTTTTATTGTGTGTGTGTGTGTACGATTTTACATTGGGCCTAGATGGGAAAAACTTATAAACGTATAAATAAAGGCACCACTGATTAGTTGAATTTCTAGATTGTGAAGCCATTTATTTAGTAGCAAATCTTTATCTAGCTGCCTATATTTTAAGGTTTAATTCTAACCTCTTAGAATTCTGAAACTTGGCTGAACAACATTTGGAATCAGGTAGGGAACTTGAAAAAAAATTATGCCTGGATGCTCCCCTAGAGATGCTGTCTCTTAATGGAATTGAGATTTTTCCCTTCGTATTTTGCCTTCAAAAATATTTTGCAGAGGAAAAGCATGTTAATACTTTAGACAGCATGTTTTTGTTAGCACGGACTGCTAACATATTCCTTACAGGCCGGCCAAATGCTTCCCCTAGTCACAAAGCAAAAATAAAAAGCTCAGCACAGCTCAGGGAAAAGGACAATAAAAGGCCATAGTGACTGAGCATTTAGGTGAATCATGGTGATTATCTGTTTAGAAAAAGCAGCATCTACTTTTTTCTCTAATGAGAAATGACAGCTATTAGTTTTTCTTGCTCTTTCTCTGTCTTAAATGGGTAAAAATAAAGAAGAATTACTGCCACCTGGTTAAAAATGTTTTTGCCATTTGTAAAGGACATGCCTTTCCTCTTTTGGAGTATAATTTCAAATGCCAACATACTTATTTTCCAGTAAAAGTGTGTGCCTGGGAGATGGTGGCAGAACCAGGGGGGCACAAAACACTGTTCTTCAGCATTTAACTGGAAAATCGAACACTTGAAACTTCCATGTATTAAAGACATCTCCAAACTGTCAGTAGATTTTAGTTAACGATGGAGTTATTGCCTTCAGTTTTTTTCCCCATCACATATTTACATTGGGGAGTTCACAAAAGAGAGAAAAGAATCAGGCTTTGATATTTACACAACCATCTTGGAAGGGGTGAAAGGTTGGGGAGGCAGTGGTGGTAAGAACAAATAAAAAACACTGATGACTGGACAGGTCATTTTTCCTGCTCTGATCTATTTTTAATTTCCTGGCAAACCAAATATGGTCTTTAATCCTGGAGTTCTGGTTTTGATTCTGATGAATTTTGAGTCTCAGTACTGGTTTTAAAAACTGGATGCAGGCCACCCCGGTGGCACAATGGTTGAGCGCTGGGCTGCGAAGCTGCCTGCTGCCTCTGGAGTGCTGGTTCGATCCCCAGCCAGCCAGCGAGGGTCCCACATGATGCGACAGACCTTTCCTGCTGCCTGCTGCTCCCCTCAGCAGTGTATTTCGTCAGTCTGCCTGTTCTGTTCCCCGCTCTGGCTCTGGTGAATTCTCTCACCCTCCCGTGCTTCTGACTGTACCCAGTGCTTGTATAAATAAATAAATCAATCTTTAAAAAATATTAAAAAAATAAAAAAGTGATGCATTTAATGTTATGAAACAGCTAATGAGATTTCAGTGAATTGCAACTATCTACAGAATTAAGTAGAATCTAGATGATAACACAATCTGAATACTTCCATTTGATATGCAAAGCTTCTTATTTACTCTCTTTTAGTCTGCCTACTTGCTTACTGTAGTATAAAATATCAATGCAGGTACAGTTATTACTTCAATTACATTATCAAAATCCTAATGGGAGCACACAAAGACTTAAAGAAAATCAATATCCATAAAAAGAGTAGTCTTGTAATCTCTTTGCATACATGAGCTGCTGCCATAGGTGCTCACTATATTCCCGTCACTTTTACTCGCTGGTGGGGAAGTAATAACAGCTCTGAATGATTAATGCTAAATCTACCTTTGCCTCACTCATGAATGGTTTGTTAAAGACTCAGTAAAGGAGTTTGGAACATGATTAAAGTTACAGAGTGAGTCTCAGGAACTGTTGGCTACCTTGAGCCATCCTGCATAGAAGAAGAATTGCAGGAGAGTGAAGATTGGAATGTAAAGGTCTAAGTCATGTCCTGCATAGCCTTTGGTGGGATCCAAAAACTGGCGTCCAATCAGACATGCAAAGAAGAAGGTATAGACAGCCAGAGTGACAACCTGGAATAGAGAAAAAATGAGTGAGGATGCAGTGCTGGAGGGCTAAGGTGGACAAGTAGAAATAGAAATCAAGTGCAAAATATTTGATACCTGGGTGTAAACTAGGGGAATCCCAACCCAGTCGTAACCAAATAAGAGACTGCACCAAGAACGGTATCGGTTCATTTCCTAGGGCAGAAACACATAAAACACAATTTACTAAAATGATGGATAGGTGTGGTAATCAATATTTACTAGGACTCAGAATGTGGCCATTTTTGGGGTGTGATTATGTCTGTAAAATGCTGAGACTGACTTTGCATAGCTAGTAGTTGGTCCTGAAAGTCACCCCAAAAGGAAAATTCTGAAAATGATGGGTAATTAAAAATTTGCAAAAAGGATGGCTGTAGATGAACTTATTTTTAATATTAAGTTAAATCAGGACTTAATAGAAATATTCCCTACTCTATCAAACCCATAATTTCCAACATATATATTGACCAAAGTGGTGATGGGAAGGCAGTGATTAATATTTGAAATAATTTCTAGCCATTTTGGTTAATTACATAGAGAACAAATTTTTTTTTTTTCTGCTGGTCTCTTTTGAAAATATATTTACATAAGGTTGTAGAAGAAAGTAATACATCTTAGACTTTAGAATACTTACATTGACAGAAAATCTGTCTTTGTTTGTTGTAGGAAGAACTGGGATTCATTGATTTTTTTTTTTTACCCTATCAGGCATAAATTATTATCTAAGAGAGGGGGGAAAGAGTTCATATTAATTTGGGAGCTATTTTTAAATCATTCACTCATTTTAGACTAAAGCCAGGCAGGAGACTGTCAGGACACAAATCTATCTAGTCCTCAAGTGAATTTGTTTCTTAGATGAATTTAGGGTTATTTCATTTAATAAAAACACTTTTGTTTCCTGAAAAGCTAGCTTACCCTCAAGATATTTTCACTTGGGGGAATTGACTGGGAAGGTTTACTTCTACTCGAGATTTGTTCTAGGAACCAGGGAACAGGGATGGCAAGTCAGTTGTGTGGGTGCCAAATGCTAAGCGCTCTTGGCAGATGTTGCTAATCAATCAAGAGGCACTTTCTTACAGAGCCGATAGCAAAGTCGAATTCTGTTTAAGACCGGCTTCCTAGCAACCCCTGGCAATCAGTTTGGGTTGAAACCTGTATACTATTCCCATCCTGCATGTTGAGGTCCAGGCTTTCTGGTTCCTTTGGAATGAGGATGGAACAAAGTGGATTCATCTTGGACCAGCCTGTTAGATTCAGGTCCCTCTTGGCCTCTAGCCTTCTTTCCTGACAGTGTACTTACTGTCATCAGTGATTGCAGGTCAACACTGTCTCTTATTCTACCTTCCTTCCGGGCTTTAGCTGCGAGATTTCCAAACCAGATAAATGGAACCCAGTATTTCAGATGAGGAGATTTGAGGTGATCAAATAGTTTTCTTTCATCTGCAGTCATAAAGCCTTCACACAAAATTAAAATAGATTATACAGAGTTAGTTTAGCGCTGACACGTTACTATAGATAACTCAGTGTCTACTGTGTTAGCATAATGAGAGATATTAAATATAAAGTAAATGTTCCTGTCTCAAGTACACTTGGCTTAGATATAAGCAATGTATCATGAGTATGAACTCATGAGTGTGCACACACGAGTGTGCACACACACACATGAATGTGCACACAGTCACCTATCAATATGTGAAGCACGTGTGTCCACCATCCCTCTTAGAGAGGTCAGAAGGAAGTAGAAAGACATTAAGTGTGGACTTGAACATATGGGGAAGGTTTATTCTTTAGGTTTTGATTTATTCATCTAAAATTGAGGGCAAGTGGAGGCCTCCCTGGTGGTACAAGGGGTTAAAGTCTCAGCACTATGAAGCTATTACAAGCTGCTGCAGCACGAGTTCGATCTCTGGCCAGGGAGCTGACCTCATGGCACAGCAGACCTCTCCTGTCTTGCCTGTTGCTCCCCTCAGCAGTGTATTTCAGTCAATCTGCCTGTTCTGCTCCCCACTCTGTCTCTAGAGAATCCTCTCACCCCCGCCAAGCCCCCGCACCTCTGGCCTATACTCCAACTCTTGTATGCAGAAATAAATACATCTTTAAAAAAATAAATAAAATTGAGGACAAGAATACTTAGGATTGTTAGGATTAAAAGAATAAAAAGTAATGATGTATGCGAAGTACTTAGTATGAATCACATGACTTTTCCTTAACAGATCCCTTCAAAATCCTAATTGGAAGGTCTAGCCTTATTCAATTCTTTCTTTTTCCACTGGGATTTCTCCTTTTTGGGCTCCCACCCTCGAGTCTCTCTTGCTTTCTATTACAGTAATGTTATACACAAATATTTCTCCTGCAAAAGGCCTTTTGAAAAGCAGAGTATATCACCTTCATGATGTACTCAAAGTACCTGCAATACTTTGCCTTTATTTTAAAAGTGCTCCTTTAATTGTATGTGTGTGTGTGTAAAATGATTTGCTTGTGCTTATGGTCACCTCATTTTTCTGATGTGTGAAAGAAAGGTGATAATAGCTATTTCACAGGGATGTTGTTAAATTACCTGAGATAATGAACATCTGTCAAGAGGTTAGATAATGATTACATGTACTTAACATTCAATAAGTACCAAGACATTGTAATAAATGTGAGGCCTTAGTGATCCGTCTCCCTCATCCTACCTGCACACTGAGGAAGGAAGAGATTTGGGTATCAGGAGAGGAGCAGGTTTATTTAATAACCATTTATTGAATGCCAACTATGTACCAGGGTGTGTTCACACAACGATGCACTTGAGAAAATAGTTTACACTCGATCATTTATATAAACATTTTTTTGACTGAGTCATTCAAATGGTACAAAAATTCAAAAAGCCGCAAGGAATATTAATAGAGAACGTAAATCTTATTTTCCTAGTCACATGGTTTTCTCTTTGAACAAAATCACTGTGATGAATTTGTTGTGTATTTTTTCGGAGAAGTATCATGGATTTTAACCCGATTTTTAAAAGCACAAATGGTTTTACACTGAACACACATCTGCTATTTGCTTCTATTTTTTAGTTATATCTGGAAGGTTGGCATCATTACAGAGAAGAGCATCATTCCTTTTCACTGGCTGCATACTAGTTAATTGTATATTTCGCATATTCAATTTATATTATTTTATATAACAAGTCCTTTTTGAAGATATATTACTTATTTAATGTTTTTTTCTATTAAAATTCTGCAGTGACTATCCTGCACTTACCCCCTTGACTTTTTAAGTGGACTTCAAAATGCTAATTAAGATAGTATAAGTGACGTTTTCTGGAAAAAAGCTTATTTATAAACCTATTTTTAAAACTGAAGTATAGTTGACATACAACATTATTTCAGTTTCAGGTACACAACATAATGACTTAACATTTGTATGCATTGCAAACTGATCACCACAATAAGTCTACCATCTTTTCCTAGGAACTTTCAAATATGCATGTAGGGTAAGGAAAAAAATGTCAGGCTTTTCTGCCTTCTCGCCATCAGGATAGATGATGGATCCTTGTCCTGAATGCATGCCTGATGGCGGGCACCTGGGATAGGGTGTGGGCATAGGTAGATGGGATTCACCTGGGCTGAGACTGTGCTTTTTAAGGGCGGCATCATGGGGATGCCAATAGAAGCTAAGCAGAAGCTGAGAAGCCGAGATCACCGGAGAGCCCAGATAGAGTGAAGATTTGCTGGGGGCTGGGAGTGTTAGGGGGAAAAGGATGTCCTAAAGCTAATTCCATACAGGCTTTGTGGACTCCACCCCCACCCCAGGCCAAAGCCAAAGACACTGGGAACTCCAAATCCCATCCTCACCAAAGGGAAGGTAGCTGGGAACTGAGGGTAGGGTTAAGCAGCCAGGTTGATATAAAAGGCAGACATGTGGGCTTTGGGGGGGTCCCTCATTTTGGCTCTCCACCAGCTAGCAGCGTCTGGCCAGCTCTGAGAGTGACTTTGGGTTTCCAGGTCGGCGGATGGGGTAGGACGCATTACTTTATTTCCCTATTTTCTCCCTGAGTTGTACATTTTCCTTATTTCCTTTTCCCTTGTAAATAAACCTTTTATTAACCTTTTGTGTGTGCCTGTAGTGGAGTATTAATAAGTCCCTTTTAAGCGCGCGGGTGAGGACCCACAGCCAGGAACGCGTTCAATATCGGGGCTGCTCTATAACAGGAGGACTGCCAGCCTCCCAGACCCCCAGCACCCCTGCCTGCCACGTACCCACTGAACCCAATAAAAGACCTGCAAAAAACCACTGAGGACTCTGACTCCTCCTTTACCCGGTCTGCATGGGATCAGAAAACCTGCACTGTGCCCATTCCTGCCTTACAGTCTGTTTTTTTCAGAATTTGAAATAGAGGAACGACGGCAAAGTCAACATTTACCAATAGGAGACTCATTTTAAATAATACTCAGGTTAGTTATATTAGCTTAGAAGGGTTCTGCCCATGCCTGGAGAACTGGGCTTTCTCTGGAGGTCAAAAAATAAAAATGAGCTAATAAATCTCTACACATTTTTCAGTGCATCTCAAAGTTGTTGCATGATCCGGTTTACCTGCCTCTTTTTTTTTTTTTTTTTTTTTTGGCAAATACTTGCAGAGCCTGATTAAATGTAAACAAGAAGTTAATGGATAAACTTGAACCGTCTTGACTCTATGCTTACAGACTTGCATTTCATCCTTGACCTGGATGCCAATTCTAACACATTTCATATCAATTGTCTAACAGTGTGGTCTTGGGATTTGTAGTACAATGTTCAAAAATAACCCCATTTATATACTGGCTGCAATCTCTGTCATTTGATGAAATAACTTTATCTTTGGTTATTTTTTATTCAGGAGTATGGATCAAATTGTGCTAGCAAGTCTTTTTTTGGCTTCTTAGCAGAAAGCAAATATGCAGAGTGAGGGTTTATTAAGTACAAATACTAAAGCAACAGCTCCTCTCCTTCCCCACAGTTGGAAGGGGACATGTAGAGTGAGGAAAGGTGGTTTTTAATTTTCAGCCCAAATTTTCAGAATACTTTCCTGGGCTCTGTGAAAGATGAACAAAGAACCCAACATTAACGTGTCCTCTGAGAGTGGACCAGCAAAAAAATTCTTGTTCTTCTCTGCAGAGTCACATAGCTTATTTAAGATAACCCTGTTTTTAAAATTGAGCTATTGGTTTATTGCAAGAAAATCTCTAGATTATTGGTAAAATAAATTCAAAGAGTTTTATAAAACTCTTTGTTTATAAAATGTTACCTTCATTAGCACTTCAGGCCATTTTAACTGACAGTGATTTAGAATGTAGTCATTGTCCTCACCCCAAAGGCTATGTTAACCACAGACACTGATTTGCTGCAGTTGCAATTGGTTGGTTCTCACACTGCTGTCTTCTCCCATGCAAAGCTCCCCCAGGCCCTATCCACACCCCTCACAGTGTTATTCTAGCTTGCCATTGCAGCTGCTTAGAGTTTCTCTAGCTATCTCTTTTCTTTCTGGATTATTCAGCTTTATTCAGCAATTTTCATAGTGCTGATTCCAAAAACCCTACTGAATATTTCTAGTCATAGTAAAAGAAAATTTATATATGTGTATGTATGTATATGTGCACACACAACATATGTACACAATTGTTTGTGTACGTACACATACATACACACACAATACATATATGCTTGTATTTACAGGTGATTTGAATTGCAGATTGATGGAGTAGTAGGACCTGCTACTCTAGGCAAATTTTTATTGTCCTCAACCCAAAGGACTAATCGGGTCCACTGCTCAGCAATATTCTGGTCATCACAGATTTTGTCTGCTATGCAGTTGGTCTGTTTTTCCTTTGTTGAAGCTGAGACAGATGCCTTTGGCTTCAGAGCAGAGTGTGCAAGTGACTCTTAGCAGAACTAAAAGTTCTGCATCTCCAATGTGAAGGCAGAATAGGTTTGTTGCCAGAAAAAGAGAAAAAGAGAGAAAAAGCTGTGAATTCAGCATCTGAGTCCTTTTGAGAAATGACTTTTTCAGGAAGATTGCAATGTACCTGGTTCATTTTCATCTCCATATTTTCCAAATGAATGAAGGCACAGATTCAATTATAGCTGTCCTTTAGATTCAATAGGAGAGACTTAGAGGTCCCTGTCAACTGGTAAAAGGGAGGTAAATGAGGCTGAAAAAGAGATGGACTCACATTGGGAAGGGCAACAGTGGTTCACAAAACAATTATTGGCCCTTCTGCATGCTGTATTCTCTGATATTTTCTGTTCTATTCTGTCCTATTCCATTCTATTCCATTAAAAATGCTGGTTGTTAGGCATGAAAATGATTTAAGAGCCCAATAATGAATTACAACCCACAGTTTGAAAAGTTGGTACGGTTGAGAAAAATCAGTCCCTGGTTTAGAAAAATCCTGTTTTCCTGATAGGAGCAAATCATTTCTAGTCTGCCATATCCC